GTCTGCAGTCTGACCGCTAGATGTCGCTGAAAATTACACACTGTAGCTTTAAAAGGTCAAGATATTGATTGATTGACTTTAATGATCTCAAAGGTGGAGAAATGTACTTGTTACATAAGCTCAAATAGTCAAAAAGAATAAATGAAGAAAAGGTGCATGGGGGTATATACAGTATGTACCAGAATCTGATTCTGGTTCTGATATACAGTGTATCAATATATATCTGACAGCTGATGTCTCCTTTTTTTTATTTTAATTGCAGCTAATAAGGTTGCATCCAGTTGACCCAATTCCTTAGACTACTTATAACTGCAAAGACGCTTTACATCTATGAAATTATTTATCAAAGAGGATTCAGCAAACGTTAACTTGCGGCATTTAAGACTTAGTGCACTGCATGTTGTGTGTGTGTGTGTGAGTTTTTTTTTCTTTGGTTGGTTCCTTCTCCAAATACCTCCTTATATGGCATCTCATTTTGTTGTAATTTGGTAAGGAACCATTCATTTGATCAAGATGTTTTAAATAAGGAGAAAATCAAGAACATGCAGATGATTAACTCACGGTTTTGTTTTGATCCTGTCTTCCATTTGGTTGTTTCACATTGTGTTAGAGTCTAATGTTCTGGTTATTAGTAAAATTTGTTAAGTCCTCTGTCTAGAACAACTATGAGGATGAGTAAACCTGCATTCTGAGAGCAAAGTGTTCTTTCAAGAATATCTGAACAATAAGATCTCTATGTGATGGAGAACATTGATATGTTTTGTAATTATAAATATAAAGCTTATGTTGTCCCAAAATGCTGCTGAGAAACATGCTTCACTGCTGTCTTATTCCACAAATAATTTATAGCATACTCGTTTGTTAAATTTACATTGAGGAAAATAAGTATTTGAACACCCTACCATTTTGCAAGTTATCCCACTTAGAAATCATGGAGGGGTCTGAAATTATTGTCAGTGCATGTCCCCCTAAGAGACATAATCTAGAAGTAAAAATCCAGAAATCACATTATATGGTGTTTTTTTTTTTTTATATTATTTGTATGATACAGCTCCAGATAAATATTTGAACACCTGAAAAAAAAGTGTTAATAATTGGAACAGTAGCCTTTGTTTGTAATTACAAAGGTCATACATTTCCTTTAGTTTTTCACCAAATTTGCACACACTGCAGGAGGGATTTTGGCCCACTCCTTCACACAGATCGTTTCTAAATAAGTCAGCTCTCTGGGCTTTCAATGAGAAACACAAAAGTTGAGCTCCCTCCAAAAATTCTCTATTGGGTTTAGGTCTGGTGACTGACCATGCCATGCCAGAACCATGATATGTTTTTTTCTAGAGCCACTTCTTGGTTTTCCTGGCTATGTTTTTCGGGTCATTGTGGTGTTACTCATCTTCAATGCTCTAACTAAGGGAAGGAGATTGATCCCCAAAATCTTGCAATACATGGCCCCGGCCATCCTCTCCTTAATACAGTGCAGTCACCCTGTTCCATGTGCAGAAAAACACCCCCAAAGTATGATGCTACCACCTCCATACTTCACAGTAGGAATGGTGTTCTTGGGATGGTAGTAGGGGTGTAAATAATAATCGTTTTGTATCGATGCATCGATCCAACAGCCGACGATCCGATGCATCGACACTTCCGCAAGATAATCGATTCATGTTTTTTTTTGTTTCTCCGGTCTATTTTTATCCATTTGCTCCTGGGCGTAATTCTCCCTCCCGTGCTGCGGTGGCGCTAAACCTATTTTGCTCTCCTACCTCGCTTTCTGGTTATACTCTTACAGCAGTGTGTTGCAGTAAGCTTGACACAGACATTTTTAAATTATGCTCAATATTACAGCGTGGTCTGTGCTACACACTGTGGGTCTAGATACGGCCGAGGCGGCAAGGAAGTGGGGGCGAGTTTAGTCTGACGACGGAGGGACATGAGGGCCAAAAACAGCGGAGATCCAGGTGGAAAAAGGGTCCCAGCGTTCTCGTGTACCTCACTCTTCTAGCGGGTCAAACTTCACGAGTTGTTTTCCACAATTTTGGTCATAAAAACAAAACAAGCTGGCCTCCTGTCTGCGGCACTGTTTGCGGTCAGCTACAATTTGGGAGAGGTGCAGCGGAGCGTCTCTCAAGGGGGCGGTGACGTCTGGAGCAGAGGTATTGAATTGCACTCATTGCACAAATTTTTTTGCAGTATTTTTTGATGCAACTTTTCTACTTCTGTTATTTGCTGTTGTTTCTAAAAAAAAAATGCATAACAATATTACAGCTTTCATTGATTTATTTCAAACTTGAAACTTTGTTTAGCCTGTAAGGTGTAAAAAAAAAATAAAAAATTAATCGATTAATCGAATCACATCGTGGTGAGTATCGAAAATAATCGAATCGTTGGGTCAGGAAATCGATACTGAATCGAATCGCCATGATGGGTGTGATTTACACCCCTAGATGGTACTCATCATTCTTCTTCCTCCGAAAATGGTTAGTGTAATAATGACCAAAACATTCTATTATGGTCTCATCTGACCACATGACTTTCTCCCATGACTTTTCAAACCATGACGTCTTAGAGCAGGCATCCCCAAACTCGGTCCTCGAGGGCCGCTGTCCTGCAGGTTTTAGAGGTTTCCCTGCTTTAGCACAGCTGATTATGATTATTGCAGTAGAGCAAAAGCCTGTTAATCAACTATCAATTAAAATCAGCTGTGCTGGAGCAGAGAACCATCTAAAACCTGCAGGACAGCGGCCCTCGAGGACTGAGTTTGCGGATGCCTGTCTTAGAGTATTACCAACAGTAACCTAGGAAACGGTGGTCCTAGCTCTTTTCAGGTCATTGACCAGCTCCTCCCATCTAGTTCTGGGCTGATTTCTCACCTTTCTTAGGATCATTGAGTCCCCACGAGGTGAGGTCTTGCATGGAGCCCCAGTCTGAGTGACATTCATGTTTAGCTTCTTCCATTTTCTAATTATTGCTCCAACAGTGGACATTTTTTCTCTAAGCTGCTTGGAAATTTCCCTTTAGCTCTTTCCAGCTTTGTGGAGATGTACAATTTAGTCTCTAGTGTTTTTGGACAGCTCTTTGGTCTTGACCATGTTAGTAATTGGATTCTTACTGACTGTATGGGGTCGACAGGTGTCTTTATGCAACTAACAACCTGACACAGGTGCATCTAATTTAGGATGATAAATGGAGTGGAGGTGGACATTTTGAAGGCAAACTAACAGTTCTTTGAAGGTCAGTATTCTAGCTGATAGACAGGTGTTCAAATATTCATTTGCAGCTGTATCATACAAACATGTAATTAAAATATCATACATTGTGATTTTTGGATTTTTTATATAAATATATTATTTGTCACACAGTGGACATGCACCCACAATGACAATTTCAGGCCCCTCCATGAATTTTGAGTGTGAGAACTTGCAAAATAGGAGGGTGTTCAAATATTTATTTTCCTCAAAGTAATTGGTCTGTGGATAAGTTAGCAAACAAATTCTTGTAAGAAAATGGAGCCACACCTAAAGAAGGACAGAAGATTAATGCTATATGTTGAGTGTTTTTAGTGAGACATTTTTATTGTGAAGAACAAAGAGTTAACAACTTATAAAATTTGACTTTTTACATGATTGAAGACTAAATTTGACTTTTCAAAAGATGGCCAAAGTGCATCTATATCTACCACTTGCATGTACCACATTTCTTTTGATATCCAGTTTGGCTGCTAAGCATTCCCGAAGCACAGTGTGCAGAAGTGCCTGGTTCACCTAACTTCCTGCACCAGCTGCTAAATGGCTTTCCATCTCGCCATTTTATCCAATTTTACATATTTATTAATATTAATCAAAAATCAAGTGTTAAATCCATGAATGTGCCTCTTCCATTTCCTAAGATAAATCATATAAATCCATCAATAGTGTATATTATAGACATGTATAGATGAATGAAAAAAAAGCTCTCAGGGCCAGGATCAAAATAATCTGTCCTTTAAGAAATTTATAGTGAAATTTAACAGTTGTGCTTTTTGTTTTAAATAAGCTGTTATTTCTTGCTAGGATGTAAATGTAAAGATTATATGATACTAGTTATCCCTTTTTCAAAAATCCACAACAAAAAGAAAATATTGTGGCAGAAACTGCACATATGTTGGATGCTGACGGGGAGTTTTATAATATATCATATTAAATTGAGTGTTCAATTCCACATGTTTTGCTCCTATGTATTTTAATAATAATATAGCCAATGCTCTCCTCGATCTCCGAGGAAGTCGCAGCGCAGCAAGATGGGAGGAATAGCGGAGGCTGTAGGCTTTGCTTTGTGCAGGAGGTCTAGAGCGGAGCGGGGCGGTGACAGAGGATATGGGATTTCGGGGTAACAGGGTAGCTGCGTCCAGCCGGCTGTGATAAAGAATTTCCTCGTCTGTTTTAAAACTGGTGCACTCTGTTACTCATCTATACGTTAACAGCTGTTTCTGTGTGCAGCATGCTCGCTTGCTTTTTCTACCATAATAACAGTTTATAAGCAACATTTCCCCTCATTCATAAAACAATAAAATCAAGGATATTTCCGGGGACAGCTTTAGCTGGGGACAGGTGTTCCAAAACAGGGACTGTACCCGGAAATCGGGGACGTCTGGTCACCCTCTGGTCACCCTAACCCAGCCCCATGCCGGAAATCTGGCATGGGGCTGGAATACTTTAATCCCTACATTAGTATACTCTAATAAGACTAAGTGATGAATTATGCCTTGTTGTTGCATCAGGTTAAAATACCTCACTACACATTCACTTTTATCTTTGCAGTCAATCATAGAGAGCTGCATGAACTCCGAAGCAGATAAATATTAACCCATTAAGCATGTTTAAAAGCAAATTTGTCTAATTGGTGATGTAAGGTTTGGCTCAACTAACTTAAAGACTTCTTAAAGAACTCTCAAACTGTACTATGAAAATGTAGACTAAAAAAACTCGATCATATTGATTTGCACTTTAGACATTATTAAAAAACTAATTCATTTGATTTTAGATGTATATAATTGACAAATAATTTTTTAGCTTTTTCATCATCTCTTCATTTCCTGCAGCATCTGAAGACACTGAGGCACCCGTGTCTGCTGCGATTCCTGTCCTGCTCGGTGCAGGACGGCGGCATCCACCTGGTAACGGAACATGTGCAGCCTCTGGAGCTGCTATTGGACAGCCTGTCCCCAGAGGAAATCTGCGCTGGCATCTACGACATCCTGCAGGCACTCGTCTTTCTGCATGAGAGGGTAAGCAAGAAATGGCTTGACTTAATGTTGCCTGCTCGCTGTTTCCTATCAACTGCTCTGTGTGTTAAGCCTTGATGCCTCTCATCCACCAGGGTAAATCGAGCCACAACAACGTCTGCATTTCATCCGTGTTTGTCAGTGAAGATGGTCACTGGAAGCTGGGAGGAATGGAGACTGTATGCAAGTTCTCTGAAGCAACACCAGAGGTAGGAGACGGAACTAAAGCACATTTATACTCATAAGACCGTCTTTGCGTGTATTTGTAATGACATGTTAAGATTTTAAAGAATATTTTCAGTTTTAAATGTGTCATTTAATTTAGATTTTTGTGTCAGTTTCTCAGTAGTATTCAGAGTGCCAGAGAGGCCGCTTGTGTTCCTCCTGAAGAGCAGGTCAGTAGGTCAAACCTAATTAAATACATACATTTCCTGGTACATCCTTTCAAGAGATAATTATTTTGACAGGTGGAAGGCTTTAAAATCCTTCCAGAGAAACATGCTCATGCCCGCGACTGTTATTCTTTTGGTATAATGATGGAGGCTCTTCTTCCCCTCTTAAATGATTACGGTGAGTAGAGATGTTTGAAGAAAATCGGGTGCAGATTGTATAATGTGACTCCCTTTTATTAATTTACCCTGCTCTCTTTTGCTTCCCGTTGTTTCCAGTGTCACAGGAGCTCTCTGACAGTCTGACAAAAACACTGCAGGCAGGCCTGCTGAACTCAGACCCCCTGGCTAGACCCCCACTCAGCTCCTTGCTCGACCATGACTTCTTCAGGTTCATGTTTATCTGTTTACCTCTAATTCTGTCATTTCAGATTGACAACATTGGTTTTAAACTGTTATTATCTTTTGTATGAATAGGAATGACTTCCTGGAAGTGATGAATTTTCTGAAGAGCCTCACTCTGAAGACAGAAGAGGAAAAAAATGAATTCTTCAAGTAATCATTTATTTTTGTCATTCTAATATAGTTTTATGTCTTGGTTAATTAAAGATGCGACTTTTCCTGTTTTTTTTCTTTTCTTTTCAAATTGGCTTTCTTCTTGTCTCAGTTTTTAACTTCTCCAAAGCTCCATCCCTGACCTATCAGGGTTCTCCATTTGCGACTCCTTCACAGAACCACATTTGCACTGAGGATAAATTATACTCTGGTGGACTCTAGTGTTTGTTTATTTCTAAGGATAGTGAATTTTATTTTAGTGGTATAAAAATAAAGACCATATTTTTATTATGTTCAATCTTCCTTCATCACTTAAAACCCTGTAAAATGCCTTCAGGTTTGTTCTTGTAATTTCACCATTGTCAATAAGTTTGAATAAGTTAAACAAGGCATTGCAAATTTGAACACTTGACTCTACTTAGTAGTTTGACATTTTCTGTTTTAATGTTAGGTTTCTCCTCGACCGTGTCCAGAACCTTCCCGAAGAGCTGATAGCTTCACGTCTAGTTCCCAAACTTCTCCATTCTCTTGTTTTTGCTGAACCCATGGCCGTCAAGAGCTTCCTCCCTCATCTGCTAAGACCAAAAAATGGTAATGTGGAAGTTTTTCAACACTGCATCACATAACATGAGAAAAATAGATGTTAACCTGAAGGTACCTCCTTTATCTTAAAGGTTTAGTTAAAATGACTTAAAATACTTTACTTCACCTCTGTGCACAGAGTCCAGCTGTGGTGACAGTGGTGAGAGCTGCCTGCTGTCTGTGTCCCTTCACCGGAAACATGTGATTCCTCTGCTGCTTAAACTCTATAAAGTGAAAGAAGAGCATATTCGGGTTGTGCTCTTGGCTCACATTGACATTTACGCAGAGTTCTTTTCCCATGATGAACTAAAAAACCAGATCCTACCTCAGGTAAAAGTCCAGTTTATTCTTTCACTATATTTGTTTAAACGATCTAGCCCACCAGACCAGATCTTTCAAAAGCATTGATCTCATCTTTAGAAACACTGAAGGCTCTTACAGAGGTCAAAGCATTGTTCTAATTTTCAGATTGTAAGAAAGTTATTGATTTTTCTCTAATTCCAGTCTATTTTTAGTCTTGCTTTTTGTCCACTAATTAAAAGCAAGCACCTTAACCTTTGACAGGCAAACATAACATTAGCACAGAACCAAAACCCCTTAAAAGATATTTTTTATTCCTTAAGATATGGATGGAATTAAGATTTTTCTATTTTTGTGGTTCTTTTAGCTTAGCTTCTCTTATTTTACTTGTATTGTCATTTTATTTATATCACACCAAATCTTTTATGTCTGCAGCTATGTAGTTTTTTTTTTTATTCAAAATAAATTTAAAAAAGCAATGTAGTTTTAACTAAGCTATAAATTCAGTTATTGCCATTTATTTTTAATGGAGCATAGTGTTTAAAAAAATTACACATTCTTGATGTTCTATATAAATTATTTAGTCTTTACTTTTTCCCCCATATTGGCTGCAGGTTTTGTTGGGAATGAGAGACACCAATGACGCCTTGGTTGCCATGACACTGCAAAGTCTGGCTGTTCTGGTGCCTTTGCTGGGAGCTCAAGTGGTTGTTGGCGGAGACAGAACCAAGGTCTTTAAACGCACCACACCCGGTTTTACCAAGTCTGCAGAGGTCACACCTGAAAGTAAGCAACTTCTAATGTATGAATGATGGTTCCATAGTTTGGTTTATTATTCTGATGGTAGTCCATCAGTAGGAACTTATAATTATAGCATGGTACCTCTGTATATTGCATTCTAAAGAAAAATTATTTGAATTCTAGATTAAATCTCAGCTTAGTGTGAGTTTGAAGTCAAAGTCTAATGTTGAAATTACTGACTGAAAATTAACAGCCCCGCTAATAATACTTCAACTGTATTTCTTAGCTTCACCCAGCCACATAGTTGGAAGCTCCAAATCTCAGATGATTCAACCTTCCAAAGTTTTAAATATGTTTCCCAAAACATCGGGGACCGAAGGCTCAGTCCTCAGTCAAATAGGAAACTTGACAGACACACAAGAGAAGCCAAGAATTGCACCATCATCTTGTAAGACCCTTAAACGTAAAAAAAAAAATAAGGGGTTTTGTAACTGAAATTTACTAGCTATTTTCTTTTTTTCAGATTCAAGTCGAAACCTGTCTTTACCATTAAATGGCTTTCATCAGGATAATAAAAGAAAGGAAATTTTCCTGGGCCCAGAGCAGGCTAACAGACTAGAGGGCGCTGTGGACGAATGGCCAGACTGGAGTGAAAATGAGATGGGGGGAAATAGAAACACGCAGTCTGTCCACATTCAGATTCAGGCATCAAAGGGAGTCGATGGCGTTAGCAACAGATTACCCACTGAAAATGCAGAGGAAGAACCTTGGGATGACATAGAGGACCCTGAACCTGCCTCAGACTTCTCCCCTACGGCTCCTTCTGCAGATTCAGAAATTCTTGCACCTTCCAGAGGAAGCACCTCTACAGCTGCAGATCAAACTCCTGAAGCATTGCCTCTGAAATCTTCTAGACCCCTAAAACTGACTTCAGCGCCTCGTCAGATGACAGAGAGCAAGAACTCTGACTCATGGAACAATGACTGGAGTCAACAGGACTTCCAGAAAACTGTCAACCCATCAGTCCCAGTGTCCAAATCTGGAGTGCCAATAAAGGGTGAGAGGACAGGTCTGGGGGATGAGTTCACCATTAAGGTTAAGAAGAAGATGGAGCAGGACCCAGAGATGGATTTGTTTGCAGACATGGTGCCGGACATCAAGTTATCTTCTACCACCCTACTGCTTCTAGAGAAAAGTGTCGCAGGACCTTCTGTAGACCTTTCAGAGAAAACACTAGAGGTCGACTCATGCATTGATACCGTAACACTTACTGCCAAGTTTGCAGCAGCTAACCCTTCTGAGGTAAGTTTTTCCAATTTCATTGCTTATATTTATGGTCAAATAACAATGGAGACATGTTTAAGTTAAAAAAAAACTAAATAATGTGGAAATCTAGTAGTCATTAGGTTATGTTGGGCATTAACAAGTAACTGATTTATTCCAAAGTTACCTCTTAATGATCGTCATTCACCTATTCCGGTTTTGGTCCCTTTAAGGCTGAAGCGGATGGCTGGGGAGACGGAGATGACCTTAACTGGGAGGATGAGAATGCCTGGTGATGTTTAACAAAACCTTTATCTGGAGCCAAACCTTCCAACCTTTGGAGATCTTTGATCCATGAACTGCATCTGGAGTTACCCAGCAAAGCAGTAAACGTGAAGCTTCTCATGATCAGATGATGGAGTGAAAAGGTTTATGGTTTATAATGGGAATGTATGGCATAATGGCGAAGGACATACGGACTGCTCGATTGTGCTAAACCTGGACAGATGATGCCATTTGTTATTCTTTGCCTGTTGATGTTATGTTGGCTCAATAAGGTTAAAGATCCTAATTAGAGGTATATAGCATTGCTTTCATGTTTTGTTTTTATGTACCAAATCTAAGCTCAAGATAGAAGCTTTAGCAGGACAAATGGTTGCTTCCTAGAGGCTTGCACTTTGAATAAATGTGAAATAGAAAATCTATAATTTATTTGGGCTTTTTGGTTTGTGTTGAAATAAACACTTTACAGCATAAAATATTTCAGTGTCCTTCTAAACATAGCAGACTATATCACAAATGCTAAAGACATGTATACCCCTCACACACATCCACAACAAAATAATTCAGCATTCGCAAAGATCTGTTAACTGTACAGGAACAAACTCTTAAGATTTAAAAAAAAAAGGTGACATTTCTAGCTTTTTTGTCTGGCTGATGTGATTTCTGTTATGAGGGTCATCAGATCCTGAAGTTTGGCATCCAGCCATGATGGAGGAGTCGCTGTTGTGTCAGTCTTTCCCTCTATGAGAGCTTGGAGGGCTTTTAAAGAGGTCTGAGCCGTCTGGATGTAGTGGTCATATTCCTCCTCTGCACTCGTCTCTTGTCGGGCTCTCTTGGGGTTTGGCTGGAAGGAATGAAGTAACAGGAAATTGTTTAAAGTATGATTTGAAAAAAACAATCAAAATATTTCAAACACCATACAGATATTGATATAATTACAGTACAGGCTGTATGACAAATACGCAACAGATGCAGCAGTTAAGTTTAGTGTCTTAATAGTCTTAAGGATGTTCAGATTTTCTATTTAAGAACAATCTGATTCTCTGTAATGTAGCTCCAGCTAAGTCATGTTATTACACTGTTGGAAAGCTTATAAGGCTCAAAATGTATGGAGCAAACAGTGCTGTCTGAAGGAATTTATCACACTATCAGACTTTTCTGCAAAATAAAGCCAGTGGTAAAGCTGTCTTGTTTAGTTAAACATTCAAGCTTCTCCTTTTAACAATGTCTGTGTCAAGACTGAAAATACAATAAAGACACAAAACGCATATTCAGCTCGATCAACTGTAAAATAATGATTAAAGCCTTGACATATGTACATAAGAAGAAATATTACAGTAAGGCCCTGTTGAACAAATATAATTATGAAAAAGGCAACTGATAAAATGAACAGAACCATACCATCAATAAGAATATATGTTTGACAGAGCTAGAGGTGGATCTTAATTAGTCAGAAAGCTGTTTCTTTAGGCAAATATCTGCTACAGGTACCTTTTAGAATAACTGACCATTTCCTACTTCTCAAACACAGTGGTGAGGGAGAATGTGAGTGTTCAACCCACACCAAAAATAAAAGGAATGCAGTGTTCAGTCGTTCAATAGTAGCCCAGAAAAATAGGCCACCTTCTCTATATTGGAGGTATTTATTTGCGGTCCACTTAAAATAAGAGCCATACTATTTCCTTGGCTGCCTAAGCAGTGAACAAAGCAGGATATATGTGGTTTCTTGTCCTCATACCAATTTCCTGCATCAAAAAAGGGCAGCTGATAACCTCATATCACAATCTGTGAGTTCAACCCACCACTGCTGTTTTGTTTGCAAACTTTACCAAAGGACAGTCTGAATGTTCATCTGAGTAGCTACATGTCCATAGTCCGACAAGGGGTGGATTTGGCCTGAGGTGAACCATTCTGGGATATTTCCATTCATTTTTAAATGGGTGACGGGATATCAAGGACAGTGTTGAAAAATTAAAGCATTATTTTAAGCAGCAGTAGTTTTTGGGGAGTCTGCTAGCAAAGTTGTACTCCAGATGTGGTAGAAAACTTATTTTGCAACCCACATTCAGCAATAAGTGGCTTAAAAACTTATTTGAATAAAACCTAATGACTTTTATAACGCTTTCTGAATAGGTTGCTTTGTAAAATCAACTCGCGTCAGAGCCTAAACATTCACAACAAATTTTCAAGGTTAAATAAGGTACTAAACAAGTAGAGCAAAGGTTAACAAGTGACTTGTGTCAAACTAATGCAGGTCAACTTAAAGGTATAGTGGAAGATTTTCACATTTTATTTTTAAAGACCCGCCTTCTCTTATTTAAAAAGTCTGATATTACTTGGCATAGGGTTAGGTGAAAATGGGGACAAGCGTATAGGATGGCCTTACTTAAACACATCACCAGAATGATGGACAATTAGGAGGATTTTAATGAGCCACCTGGAAAAAAGAACATCCTTCACTATACCTTTAGATCCTGTTGTTGAATGTATTACATTTAACCCACTACAAACTAACTGAATATACATATAAATAGAAGCTTTTGCATATTCAGAATCAATCAATCTGACCTAAATTATGCTGCTAACCTCAGAGTCTTCAGCTGTCCGTATGTTAGAGCCAATGTTTTCGCTCTCCAGCTCCTCGATATGCTTCTTGATCACAGGTTTTTCCTGTTTCAGCCTCTGAAGCTGCAACTCTACATCTTGTGAATTCAGCGTCTTGGGGGAAAAAAGGAAACACCTTTTAATAAAAGACAATCTGTTTGAATAAATCCTCATTCCATTCAATGTTTATATCCCCAACCTTGCTCAGGTAGGCGACCACTTTGGTCTTTGTTTCTTCCACACACAAACTTTGGGAAATTACCTCTTCATGGTTTGTATTCTGAAGCACAAGAGGGAAAGAATAAAGTTAAATTCTTGCTTAAATAAAGGTGTCAGCATCTATATTCACTGCCAAAGGTAACCACATCCTTGCCTTTCTGATGCTAAGCAAAGATAATACCTGAAGTCATTACATGTATGTTAGCAGATCACACTTTGTAGACTTACAACACTATGCAAACGTTTTCAGAACTTGATCTTTAACCAACTGCAACACATCTCAACCCTCTTCGTCACATTAATCCGTTTTGCCACTATTAACACTGAACCAGTAAAATTTTTTAAGTTTAAAAAACAAGTGTGCATCAGTTAAGTTTGTGTGATACCTCTGCAAAGTGAGAAAAGGCCTCTAGGGCGTGCTGATGTAGCAGCCAGGACTTGTTAGCCAGAAGGACTCCAAACAGGCTGCTCAGTCTAGGAAGGATCTGGCTCTGTGGGATCCAAATGCGTAAAAAAGGTAAAACCAATAAAGTATTAACTACCTAAAATGGTGTTACTGTTAGATTACATAAGGACTGGACTAAGAGCTCCCCTTAAACTACTATGAGTAAGGACCTGAGGTAGGAAAACACAAAATAGTTTTATTTCTTGGTAATATTTCTTTAGCTGTAAGCAAAAAGCATCATAAATACCACTAACAAACACTTAAAATTACTGTGTCTAATTAAACAATGCAAGAGTTTAAATATCTATGATTAAATTACTGAATGGGTAACCTTTAGATAACATTGTAATGTGTTGAGATTAGGGCATGGCGATATGGCTTAAAAATCTAATCATAGACTTTTCCCTACAAAATCATGAACTTTCATAATAAAATGACAAATATTGCTTTCAAAAACAAAGTTTTTAACCATATCATATTTAACCATATGACCTTAACATATGACCTAAACATAAAGGGTATTGGAATTCAATGTGTTACACATTCTTGTAAAAAAAAAAAGTCAACAAATAATAAAAAAGAAACCGTCTGAATGTTTGCAGATGGTTTATCAGTTAAAAATACACTTTTGTCTGATGTCGCTCTGAGCTATAGAAGCCTGGATTAGTTAAAAACTGATTAATAAAATGGACCAATCGCTCAGCAATAGTTGAGATGTGTCTGTACTTTATCACCTGACTGTCTGGAGGAAAAAAAATCTTTCCCAGGGAGGAGAGAAACTCCAGATCAGCCAGCAGTAGATGATCTGGACTTTTCTCAGAAATCACAGCTTCCAGACACATCAGAGCCTAAAAACAACACCAAGCTGTTAATAGAAAGATTATCCACCTTATAACTCTTTAATGAGCAAGAAACAAAATCCTTTACCTGAGAAATGGTTTCATGCTTGATGTTCTTTACAAGAAAAGCTGTTGCTGACAAAAGCAGCTTTAAAGTATGCTGCAATACTGGGTAGACCTGCAACTGTCGCACATATTTTAGTCTTACAGTCGGCCCATGATTTAGCGTGAATATATGCGTGCTTTAGTTACCTGACTGGGACTCATCCGTGACCACAGCTGTGTGATCATCTTCACTGCAGACAAACACGGTTCCTCATGAGATGACTGCCCCCGAAGCCCGGAAAGAAGAGACCCCAGCGCTGCATTCTGGCAGCAGTCCAGACATAATAAGATAACAATAAAACATTCATTGTTAATATCAAACATCTCCACCCTGTATTGTTTTCCTCCCCATTCTTGGACAACGTAACTGATAGCTGCTGGGTAACAACCTCATCTGAAGACGCAAGGGATTATTAACAGCGTCAATGAAGCACAAATCTGACTTCAAATGAGTAATGGAGCACATAGAATCCAGATGATGAGTAAACTAACGTCTGGAAAAGAAAAAGAGTATTTCCATAGATTCTAATTGTTGAGGATCAAAATATTTCACTTTTGACACACCATATATTGTTTGCGCAAAGGAAAAGAAAAGCTTGGCTACAGCAATACCGTCGGAGTCTAGGAATGTGGTTTCACAGGTACTATCTGTGCCTTGTTGCATACAGCTGACGGCAGTGAACTGTAAGAGATCAGTACATCCCCTTTGGTATCACACAAGATTCTCCTCACCACTTTGCCCACTTGTCCCAGTTTGTATCCTCCATCCTGCCACTCTGTTAGAACCCTTTGCATCAGGCCAGTGGTTTCTGTTGCCACACGGAGACGGACGTCCTGAGAAAGAGCTCTGAGGAGGACGTGATGCCACACCGGAAGATTCTCCTCCTTTGATGGTGGGAACTGTGCAACAAACTCCAGCTAAAATAGTGGAAACGTTTTCTGTTATTAGTAATATCGATTGAAGAAACCGAGAAGGTTGAAGTAATGAAGACTCCGCCCAAGAAGAACATCAGATGTGGCCTTTATTTATGTTAACTGTTGACATCATTACAATTCCTGGTATGAGGATACTTCCAGAATCCTTTGCTTGAATTGCCAAGTCTGTCATCTCTAAATAAGTTTTAAAACTGTATCCCCTAAAAAAAAAAAAAAAGATTTGCAATTTGCTGTCCTGAGTTTCCTCCTTTTGTCTTTGTTTAT